AAGGTAAATTCCCGGCTACTCATCCACAGAAATATCTATACAAATCCGACGTAGATATAGATGGATATAGATGGACTAAGCTCCATTGAAACATTGACAATAAAACACACAATACACAATCCTTGTTTTACAATTTAAGCAATTAAAAAAATAAATAAAACAACTGTTATTTGGTAAAGAAACCAATCAATAAATACTCACCTTTCCCAATGCCCATGCTCTGACTGCCGTTCCGATCACTACTTCCAGGACTGTCAATCTCCTGACGTGAGGTGAGATCGGGGACACGCCTGGAAGCGTTGGTTTCCTAGCAGACTTTGGGGGACCAGTTTTGGAGCTCAAAAGAGCATTCGGCAGCACAAGCAGTGGGAATGGTGGGTTTTTACTGGTTGCTTTAACAGGATATAGATGTTTTTGCAACAGGTTTGCTTTGTACATTTTATACAGGGAACACCCATCACCCATAACACATTTTTTTGAGCAATATGGATTTCCTTAAGTGGTATGCACCTTGTGTGCTGGTGTCTGCATGGTGAAGAGTACTATACATCAATTGGCAAAATGGAAGGATGGTTCTGAAGAAAGCTGGCCACTTGGTAATTATGCGATCACTGGAAATCAGTGGAAGGATGGGATGCTACCAAAAATAGATGTTGCATGCTAAGAAGAGGAGTGACCACACACAACTCCTATTTATATTTTCAAAATTATCCTAATTTATGGGGTATGCAAAGAATAACCGCACAACCTCTTCATCCCACCAGTGAGTGCCTAGTGCCCAAGTGTCCTAAAGACAGACCTAAGCATTGTCACGTGGGTTGTGGGAAGTGTGAGTCATGACTGAGCCTATTGGGGTTCTGGAAAGGCTATAAGGACACTTGTTGTGAGGAAGGTATAGCATAGTACTGAGGACCTTTGTTTACTGAAACTGTTCTCCACCCCAAGTTTATTTAAACGTTGGTCATGGAAGGGCAGAAGTCTCATTGTAGGAGATAGAGATATTTGGCCATACTTGTTCACGTCACTACCCTTTACTTCTTTCCTACATAATAGTCTCCAGGTCTTTTTCTTGCAGGTGGCCATGTATGGTCAGCCTAAAGAATAAAATAATTTGAGCATATCTTTTAGGGTTGCTTGTAGTTTGTGATTTTGTTCACATGGCAGCATGAAGTTTATCTCTACCCAGAGCTGGCTGCTTGTTTGGCCACACATAAAGGGAGAACCTTGGACAAGGTTCAATAAAATACCTGATACCCAAAATTACAAAATGCTGTTTCACGCCTTCCATTGTCCTCTCCACACAGTCTGGTGATCACAGTTCAAGTCCTAAACACTTACATTTCTCAGATCTTACATAAAACACCTTTGCTTCAAAGATCAAACAAAACAAAGCACAAATCTGCAAACTAGTTGGCCAGTTATCAGGGATTTTTTTTTACCTTTGTAAACAGTTCTTTTAACAAACACTACATTTACTATGGTAATATTGTGATGTCTAAAATACAAAATATATTTGAATGTATTAAAAACAATGAACATATCTTGACTGAGTTTGCAGGAGGATTGTGTTATATACACCTTAAACCAGGGGTGGACAAATCAATATGGAATTCAGTTTCCAGTCTGTCCAATCTAGTAGTCAGCACAATTTTCTTGGGAGCCAGCTTCATTGACAACAACTAGGGAAAACCTCAAAAGTGAGGTGCCAGCTGTAATTTTTAAGGAGCATTGGCTACCTGACTCCTTGTATTTGTCCAGCCCAACCTTAAAGTGAAGTGAAGGTAGTCTAAAAAATGGCATTATGATTAGTAATATTAGCGGTACGAAGAAGATGAAAGTCCACTTGGCAAACTATTGTGATAAAGAAGCCCCAGTAGGTTGCGTAACCTTCTGAATAACAATTAACCATATTATCAGCTTTCACCCTACCGTATACAAATACACATTTAGGAGCAATAGTCATTTTCGCTAGCTTTGCAAGCCAATGGTCATATGACCTGTGTCGAAAGAGATGCTGACTATAGCTGGCTCCATCTGAGTATTACTCAGAACAGTCCATATGGTCAAAATTCCAACTGCCTAAAGGCCTGAGTCCATGAACTTGTACAGATGGGCAAATATAGAGTGCTTTCAGGGACATTCCATTTGCACTTACGAGATCATTCACTGTTAATTGATGTGAAATTGACCTGCTTCTGACCTGAATTTAGTTGATCTTCCTTTAGCTTTTGTCTAAGGACAAGTTCACACCAGCCTGATTGGTGCTGGAACGCACTGGATCGCATTCCGGCTGGCTTACTTTGTTTTAGGGCGGGTAGAAGGCCCCCACTGGCCGCAGTGCGATTGCACACACCTGAACGCATAGTGCATGCAGCATTTTTTCTGACCGCACCGGACCGAAACACAGGCACTGATGTGCCTTGCGTTCCGGTGCGGGCGATCGTACTGCGGCCGGAGGGAGTAGCTGAGGTGCCATGGACCTCAATGCAGGGCCAATCCTCCTCCTGCCCCAAAACAAAGTGAGCTGGCCGGAATGCGATGCAGTGCGTTCCGACACCAATCGGGCCAGAAAGCACTGGGGCTGATGTGAACTAGACATGTTTACAATGTAGATCCAGTTTAAGTTAATCACATTCACACCACACAATCACATCATAAAATACATTTTGGAAAGACATTTCAGAAAAGAATCCCGAGACAACTGAACTACACATTTAATATAATTGGCGTAAAACTGATATTTCATTGTACTCAGTAGCTGGAAGACAGATTACATGTTGGCATTTATATTGTTCAAGGACTCGAGTGGAGTTATCAAGACCAGAATTTTAAACACAACACTACTGCCTTAACCCTTACCTCTACCTACTACCCCAAGCTTGAATACCTCCTTTACAAAGCAAAAAAAAGATGTTATGCTCGCCCAGTAGACTGTATCCTATACCCTCTCTCTCCTATCTATGAAGATGTTCAGCATTGCATTACTGCAGTGAATATCAGCTTTGTAGGCACTAGAAGAGGACGGTTAAATGCTAATGGGGCAGCTGAAGACCAAATCCCCTAGACAACTAGTGATGACCCGGGTTATTCTGGCGGCTCCTTAGTGGATGAGCGCTACAAAAACAACCCCCTACCACCTGTTAATATGTTTGCCAGGCTACCCTGCCACTCTATTGTCTGGGAAAAACATGGTCCTTTTGCGTATGGGGGAGCATGTGACTTATTCCCCTTGCTCCCAGGATGCAGTGCTCAGGGCTCGGCAGTCAATCACCAGAGCTAACACTGCTACATGAGGAAGGGGAGGTGGTCAGTAAACCCTGTGTAACCTTCAACATCATTCAATACAGAGCTTATAAAATGTTTGGACTCCTGGCTCTGGCACTGAGCGCATGTATGGTAAGAGTAGGTAGGTATGGATTGTTCTTTCAAGAGAACCTTCTTTTCAAGCTTACTAGTTGTCTGAATTTTATCAAAAACAAATTCCACTGGAAAGAACATAGACAATCAGCACTTGTGTGTAGTCAGTCGCTAACAGCACCAAGATGGATCTCTTCAGACATCTGCGACAATGTGCAACAGCGCTGTGCAAATACTGCCATTCATCCATTGCCAAAGTCCTCACAATCAGACAGTGCAAAATGCTAATCGGAAGCAGAAATCGCAGAGTAAGCATTCTCTGCGATTTCTGGAGAATATCTACTTCATCTTTTTATAAACACTTTCCATTAATGAGAACCAGAACCATCAAGTGCAAAGCGAACTGTCATCCCCTCGTAGGGACGTCCCATGTCTCATTTTGAAGCCATAAGGGAAACCAGAGACACTCACCATCTGCTTGTGGTTTGGGAAGAAGGACTGATCCACCAAGGGGAACTTGTCAGCGCCCAGTCTATGGAAGATCTTAATAAGCTGCGAAAACTGGAAAGACAATGACAGAATCAGAAACTGCCCACAACTCATTTAACATTTACATTATGTTACTGTATATAAAACATTGAAGTTACTGAACTGTCACCAGGTCACCGTAATACATCTGCAGGAGGTGTTAAAGCTCAACTCTGGCCTTCCCTTCAGTCTGGCACAGTTGTGTAGGTTGCTCTCTTGCTTACTCTGATTTCACTGCACACTGGGAGCTTCTCACACAGCCAGCCCACAGCTTGTATCAAGACTAAGGGCTCGAGGGAGGCGTACTGAGGCAGGGTGCTGTGATGTTTTCAAGAAGCCCCTCCCACCATTCATAATCTGATTGGATTGTATAGAGAAGCACAGAGACTCAGTGATGACATTGGCTATTTCAAATTGCAATAGCCAATAGCAAGCTGGCTATTGTTCCTGCCCACTGAGCAGTGGAGCGGACCTGAGAGAGAAGTTTCTCTCTCAGGGCCACTCCTCTGCTCAGTAGGTGGGACTTCAATAGCCAGCCTGTTATTGGCTATTGCGATTTGAAATAGCCAATAGCAGACTGGCTAGTCAAGCCACAACGTTCTCTTTTAGGTCCACTCCTCTGCTCTGTGGGCAAAAATTCAATAGCCAGCTTTCAATAGCCAGAGGATATTTGCCTGTTGCTTGAGAGTGGCCTTTGCTTGAATGGGGAGATGCTTACATTCACCTGTCAGTTACTATTAACTCTCAAGCAATCAGAGACTACAGTTATCAGTCACCTACCGATCCCCATCGGTGCTGGATAACTAGGAAATTACTGTAACAAAGTTATCCAAGATAGCCAGCTGTGACAGCACTTCCTCCTGCCTGTCTCCTCCTCTGCTGCAGTGAAGGGATGTCCCTTGGCGTCCTCACATCCTATGCACTGTATTGGAAATTACGACTCAAGGATCCTTTGGCCACTGCAGCAGAGGAGGAGAGAGGCTGTAAGGCAAAAACGAGCAGTTAACCCTTACAGTGCTGGGGTAACCCCGCTGCAAGGGTTAATACAAATTTTAACTGGAGTTCTTCTTTAAGCTAAATGTCTTGTTGCACTGACAGCACAGATACTACCCCTGTGACAGCACACAGATCCCTTTTATACAATGAACATGCTTTCTTCTGTTTATTAACAAAAATCCTTTATGTTTTTATGTTTATGATATCTATACTCTCCCAACATGCTATGTGGGTGGATTGTCCAGACACAGTGTGGGTGCATTTTAATACAAAAAGATAAATTACGTTGGGAACCGGAAAT